TAATAATAACTTCTCAGTACTGTTAGAGACATTGTGCTTTTTGTGAGTTGCATAGTTTCAAAGTATATCCAAGTCATAAGAAACACAGTAGGTTAGTTTCGGCAAATTTACACTTATGAACAAAAAAACTGGATCAAAATAAACAAATTATTTACAAGAAAAGCTTTTGTTTTGTCCTTCATCATTACACCAAATCGAATTTCTTTAGAAACTAAAATTTGAATGCCTAAATTGTTTATTCTCCCCCAGTTACAAAAATAGTTGCAAAATCTTTTTACAAGAATTTCTGACAAACTGTTGAAGTGTTGATCAGCCATGACAGGTCCACTGCATTTCTACAAACTAAGAAACATCCAGAAATACATGTTAGTCTGATCTTTTATGCAGCTGTCAGACTGTGAAATTAACTCCCATAAACATGCAGTAACTCAGATGTTCATTCAACTTGCACAAATGTTGGTGGTAGCCTATTTTGTTTTTTAAATCAGTTAAATCACTATGTATTTGATTGGTTCCTCTCTAAACAAAAAAATGAATAATTTGATATAAAATTAATCGTGTTTTAAAAATACAAGATATTAAATAAATATCGAATAAATTTTAGCCCTCTGATCTCTATCCGTGCAAATGAAATATGTCTCGCGGATAAACTCAAGCTCTCGAAAACAATCAATTACCATCAATGAACTGGACTGGGAGAGGCTGCTGAGAGAAGAGGACGAACGCTGTTAACGAGGCAGGTTTAACAAGGCGGCAGGCTTGAATTTGTTGGCGGTAGCATAAACTGTGCATTGAATGTAACTCAATGGCTTCCACATCAGGTGGAARTAGTGGTGGTGAAATGGAATGGGAGATGGCAAGATCATCTAGAATGAAAAGAAATATAAGGAAAAGACAGGAGAGAGCGAGAAGCTGGTCAGAAGAGAACGAATCATGAGAAGATATTAGCAAAAAAACAAAAATAAATACGAGTCCGAGAAAACAAACACAACAAGTGCAGACTAACAAGGAAGAAGAGTGAAAGTTATGATTGAGTTCAAACAGGAAGGAGGGCAGTTTCATCCAATTAAACTGACAAAAGCCATCGAGGAGGAGATTGGGAGAATTAAACTGGCCAGGCTCATGAATAATAGGAAAATACTTATACATGCAGAGAACAAATAACAAGAAAAAATTGTTAAGATGACAACACTGATGGGAGAAACAATTAAAGCATACATACCTGGAACACTTGCAAAACTAAAGGGAGTAATATCAGGAGTACCACTTGACGTAACAATAGATGAAATCAAAAATGAAATCAAAGGAGGGAAAATTACAGAAGCAACAAGGATCAAAAATAAAAGAGATGGAACTCTGAAAGACACCATGTCAGTAATATTACAGTTTGAAAATGTAATGAATCTATTCAGATTGGATGTGTAAACTTCAGAGTAACAACTTATACTCCAAATCCTCTCAGCTGCTTCATTTGTCAAAGAATGCAAAGGAAAAATAAGATGTGCACGATGCAGTGGTCCTCATGAGTATGGAAAATATGAAAAAGATTCAAAGGTGAAGTGCTGTAACTGTGGAGGTGAGCAGAGTACAAAAAGAAGCAAGGGAAGCTCAGAGAGTTAAAATAACAGAGAAAATATCATATGCAGAAGCAATAAAGAAGGTCAGGTATGAAGATACAAAATACATGAGAACTGGAGAAATAAAGCAAAGAACAACAGGAACAAACACAAATGGTACACAGAGCAGACAGAAACAGCCATTAATACAACAACAGAACAATATGTTTGTTCACACAAATGTAAAGTTGATGAAAACTCAATGATGGTGAAGAAAGAAAACTTTATAGCATTTATATGTCATATAGTGAATGTCACAGTGCAAATGAAAAAGAAAAGTGATAAAATAAAGACAATAGTAACTGCAGCAGGAAAATTCCTTGATATGAAAGAGATCCAAGCAGATCAGATTCATACCCTCTTATGTTCAGCAGACTCAACAGAAAATGGACAAGAAAAAAGTATTGAAAATAACACGTTTACTGAAATCTTAGGTCAAACTTACAGGAGAGAAATGTGGTGTGGTGATTTTAATGCTCATAACAATCTTTGGGGTAGCAACCAGACAGACAATAATGGCAGAATAAGATCTTTAGTATGTTTAAATAA